GAGCCTCATGATGCACAGTTTTTATGTTTCAGTACCATGGACAGTGAACAGGCTCTCCGCTCAATCCTTTCAGTCTTTAAAAAACAAATAAACAAGAAATATAAACTAAAACAGAAACACCCTCCGGAGCTGCAAACTGAAGCCAATGTGGGAGCTGCAAACAGTGCAGTTCCTGCATGAGGCCCTTGTGCACACACTTACTGACACTACATGGGAGTGTCTCAAACATATTGGATTACATAACCAACTCTAAACTCATAACAATTTAAAAAATAACACAGAAACCAAACAAAGCTAAAAGAAACTAAAACAACTCCAATGTCAAGAACTGAGGTCTGACGGTTGACTGGGTGTCTCATAAAGCCACATCTGATGACCCTACAACGCATTATTGGGAAGAACTGCTTGTTTCTGTGTTAGCAGATCACTTGCAGATCCTTTTCTCTTTTTCCCCCAATTGTGGCCTCGCACTCGTTTTCCCCCTTGGAAAATCTGCCCCTTTGTTCTCTCTGCGGCTCTCTCCATCTCAGCCCATCATGAATGTTTTTGCCTCACTCACCCGGTCTCCAGGTCTCACGAGCGGTTCTTGTTTGGTTCCCAGTTTGTGCAGCAGATTGTACGCCACCTTCACGCTTCTGGACCACAGTTTACCTGCAAAAACATATAAACGATGACGTCACACAATAGCTCGTGCAGACAGATAAAAGGTGAAGCACGTCTTTGAGGAACCGATAACAAGTTCAAGATGTTGTTGATGAAATACGTCCTCTAGAGATCAGAGGTGGACTGTCGGGAAACCTTTCTGTACCCAATAAAAGCATGAAAGAAACATCTCTGTGGGAACAGAGGATGACAACATGAGCCCCCATATGTAACAAATTACAGCACTGATATGACACGTGATTTTTAAAATACTTTGAAGTTTGACGGTGCACCTTGTGGGCGGACTGCTATGAAGATAATCATACAGATTTCATAACATCCAATAAATCAAACGCTCCTCGTGACTTTGGTGTAATTGGATCCGTGCAGGCTGATACTTTGCATTTATGGTCAAAGCCTCGGGACATTAAAGGAAGTCATATAGGCTGCTTTAGGATGACACTAAACAGATAAACAGATTCAGTGTCTAGATAAGTGCAGCTGTTACTTTAAACGTTAGGTAGCACAAACCAAGTGCTTACAAAGCAGTTTAAAAATACTTTCTTCTTACAGAAGGTGTCTGTCAAAGGAACTTTCAATCTCCCTGTAAATATAAAGTTATTGAATATTATCTGATCTTTCTGATCGGTTTCATTTTCCCTGGCAGACGGAGCCCGCTCTGTTCATTAATGCAGTAACTCACAACAATGGAATCAATTTCCTTCTTATTTCTTTTTTTCCCCCCTAATTCAGACTGGCAGATGCAGATATTATGCATGGGCGATCCAGCATGATTTCTTTCTTGTTTTTTTTTAAGCTAAATTAGTTTTTTTTCCTGGTGTTTGTCTGAACTAATGAAATGAAGAAAAGCTTTAGGATCCCAGGAGGAAAATAGACAGTTTGGACCACAAAAAGCAAAGTTAACTGCAGACAAACATCAGCTACAAACATCATTTCTTAAAAGCGAAGCGCCCTACGTCCCGTTGTTTACAGGTGATGTCGGGAAAGCTTGTTGGAGAAAATTATGAACGAACGTATCTACTGGTGGACCTGTGGACTTTTATTTCCTCTGACTGCCTCTTATTGATTTTGGGATAAACTAAGGATCTGAACCAATTCCCAGTATGAGATGAACATAATGATGAATATAATGATTCTGGACTGTGA